GTTCCTCACTATGTTACCACTTTCATCTAATTTATTCCTAAACACCCATTTTGTACCTATAGTATATTTTTCACTAGGCCTTTCAATTAATATCCATACTTGACTCCCCTCAAATTGATTTAAGATCCATCTTGTAATCTTCTGTGATATTTTTAGGCTCTAAGCATGAGATATATGCGACAAAATTGCAAATATTTCTAAGAGAAAATCTAGTAGTTACCCCTTTGGGTGGATCACCCAAAACTCACCATCATTAACATAGTTGTACTCCCTTGGGCATGCTATTTTTCTTTCCCCTTGAATAGGCTCTTCAAGAGCATCTTGTTTTTGTTCTTGCATATTTGTACCCCTGGTTTCCATTTGCAGGAGGCTCGTGATATCTTGGATTGTAATAAAGGTTTTATTGTTAAGTATGTTTCTAGAACTTGTAACACTATGGTGCATACCTTAGCATCTTGGGCCCTTATTTCGGGGCATTCTATGTCTTTCAACTCAGTTTGTCCCGAGATAATTACTGCCAGTGTATCAATCGATCTTTTTCCTTCGTATAGGAGTTCCTTGGGCACTTTTTTTCCCTTATAGGATTTCAAAGGAGTTTTTAATAAGGCCCAATTTATATATATAATTTCTTTTAGTTCAGATCGAAACCCATTAAAGATCGAAGTGAAACATATTTTAAGGGCCATTTTGGCATACCTTTTGAAAACTGACTTTTAAAAGTGTGGTAAAAACGAACTTTTAAAATTGTTGTATGAAAGTGCAGTTTAAAATTTAATTGTTTGGGATTGCTCTTAAAATGAGTTTGAAAAGATAAAATGTTCATTATAAACATTATGTTGTAAATAAAAAATATAGCATTTAAATTATATTTACACTTATATATGAATCATATCAATTTAAACTATAATAAATTCAAAAAATTTATTATTATATATGAATTATATCAATTTAAACTATAAAAATGAAAATATATTCTATATAACTCACTATTAATATTTTACTATATAAATTAGAAATTATAATTATTTTTAAATAATTAATATAAATTATTAAAAGTAATAAATTATTTTTTAGAGATGTTTGTATTATATTATTAAAATAAATGTAAATACATAATTGAGCGAAGCCTTTGCTAAAATTATAATTTGCTTCCAAACGAAAAGTTGAAAATTAAAAAGCTAAAAATTCTAGGTTTGAAACCACCATTCCCACCCATAATTGTTTTCCATTTTTTGCATATTTGACATTGATTTTACAATTAAAACAGGCTTTTTAACTGAAAGTATTTTTAAAAACTTTACCAAACACACCCTAGCATATAAATGTTTAGGTAAACTATTTTTTCACTCAACTTTACCTGTATTTCTGTTTTGGTCTTTAATTTTAGGGTGAACTATACAAATGATCACTAAAATTTGAGTATGTTTTTTTTCCTATTAAACTTTCAAAATTTACAAATTGGTCACTATTGTTATCGATTTATAAAAAAACGATAACTCGACATTAACTGTCGTTAGCTTGGGTGACGGAAAGTTGTGCTATACCGTTAAATGCTTACCTGGCCCATTGACTGGTTATTTGTCCCGTTGACCAGTTCCTAATATCTACGCTTGGGTATATTCTTCTTTAGAACTCACTCTTCACTTTCTCCTTTTTCCTTAATTGTATTCATCTTCCGTCTTAGTTTTAGATCAAAAAATATGTTCTTATTTGTGTCTAGCTATGAACCACATGGACGACAAAGGAACCCCATTTTAAGTACTCGATACATCCCCAACATGGAGATGGTTCGGGTACGTACCGGAGACCTACCATGATGGCGGGGTATGATTGAATAAACTCGAGGATGTTTGATGCTTATCTAGGGATGTTTTGGGATGATATGTGACTATCACATGAGTCTCCATGGGTAATTTTGACATTTTTCATTAAAAATTTAAAAAAAAATCTCACAAAAAACGTAATTTTTGCAGGTTCTCCTCAATTCCCTCTTTCTATAGTCTTTCTCAAAACATTCTCTTCTTAACGTCGTTGGCAAACGTCATAATTGTCAAATAAATAATCCTTTTTGTCAGATAAATAAGCTATAAATGTTATATAGAGAAGAAAGGGTCGATCCGCATGGACTTAGAAAATTCCAATGTCGATTTGAATTGATCTTTAACCAAGAAATCTGTAAGAGGAAAATAAAATGGGGTTTAGCAGAATAAATTGAATAAATTGAAAATAACAAATCAATAAAGAAAGAACAAAAATAAATAATTGAAAGTAATTATGATAAGAGATAGCATCTAGCTTCGCTTCGCCTCAATTCGTCTTGATCACAGAAAGATATTTTACTTCGGGATTATTGTCGGTTACAGTCTACAAGGCCCAACCCTTGTAACTTACTCTTCTCTCCGGTGAACTAATTTCCCAAAGTCAATCATTGGAATTTATTCATTGTTTGGATTAACAACGGCTATCAACGTTAACACCAATGTAACTTTGAGTGTTGAAAAAGCTCGTGCTCAAATTATCGTGTCTTAATAAGATTTGAACCCGATCTTGATTTCTGAGAGGTCGATTGCTAATCCAATTTTGTAGAAAATCAAGTAAGATATATGAAGGTATGAAGTGCTTTTCAATTCTCACAAAATGGATTGAGTCGTCACTTAGCTATCAGCTAAATGAAAATTTAGCTAAGCTTGATAGAAATCATACTTAGCATGTAAAAGAAAGTAAAGAAAATAAAAAAAGATGAAGAAGAAAATAATCTTTAAAAAATATCCCAAGCAAATAAAAGCCGAAAGCAGTACATTTTTCAAGCTTTACCCTAAGGTATTTATAACTTGAGATATCCTAAAGAAAATAAAATTCCTAAAGATAATTCTAAAAGCATTCAAATACTTAAATCCTAAACAATAGCAAACTAGAATCCTATATAATTAAATAATAAATATCAAATATTTAAATTCAATTACAATTCTTAAACCTTAAAGATTTTTCGTCCGTCTGTCCTTCCTTCTTTATTATGGTGACTGGGTCGTCTTCGAGAAGTCATCACTAACTGGACTGTAGATACTGCCACATCATTATCATCATGCCCAAAGTCATGCCCATGTGTCCAGCCTTGATTCCTGAAAATAAAAAAACTACAGAACTTACCATTTAAACGTTGTTTTTTGGAAAATAGTCCTACGCAAATCGAACATAAATAGCCCAAATTAGTAACATTAAAGAGATAACATGGAGTAATTAGTAACAAAATAGAACACTCATCAATCGTCTCTCACTTTCATTACCAGAAACTTTTTTTCCCTTCCAAAATCCAAATTCGTGCTGGTGAGGGTCTCCACGGTTCAGTTCGCTATGTAGGCTCTCGCTCTCTACGGGTTCATGTTTTGATGGTAAGCATATCCTATTAATTCAAATTCGATGCTGCATCTACATTTAAATTTTATAGTCGGGTTAAGCTCGATAAAGCTCTTGCCACTTCTAAATCCTTTCATTCTCTCGACATAGTTGGTGATAGGCTCAATCGATATGCCAAACTCTTGTTAGTACATCTCCCACTCCACCCTAATCTTCCCAATATTCTTTTAATTATTTTGGCCAAATTTGTGTTAGTTCAACTTGACATTTATGACTAAAATCGAGATAACCCAAATCTTATATTTTTTAATTAGAGCCAAGAATTTTGAAAATTATTTAGATTTTCTATACAATTTCAGTTTTTCGTTTTACTTTGAATTTGGCTTATAAACATAGTCTAGGCTTATTTTATATGTCAGTTAGACGTCTAATAGAATGCCTAAAACAAAAACATAACGTCGCCTGAGATATTCGAGCTCTATCGGGAATGCCCCATGTACTTAGCAGGCACACGCCTTAACCACTCAAACTAAGCGAATGGCTTTTTGATAGGCATGAATAGGATGATGTTGATTAAATTGATTCAACCAATTCAATTTTTTTGTGTTCAAACTTTTAACTTTTTACCAATTCGATTTTCACTCCATATACATTCAAATTTCATTATTGTATTTTGGAAATGAAACTTGATAAAAATGGAATTTTATTGTATATTTCATCTAGATTAAACTTAATAAAATTTCATAGTTGAATCTTTTCTTTTCTTTTTTTGTAATTCTATAAGTAGATATATTTGCTTTCAAGTTCTAGCTTTCCAAGTGTTTCATTCAATTAGATTGATACATGATCTTTGAACTCAATTGATTTTTTTGTTTAATGTAAACAAATCAATTTAGTTTAAATATGACATCTAAAGGTGGTAGTGGGACTAGAAATACTAGTGGGAGTGGGTCAATTTCGTTATCCCAAAATGAGAATTTATCTCTATTGTAGGATTATGTGACAGAGATAGAAAAGCCAGAGACTATTAGAGTAACTTGGAATTTCTGATGTAATATTTGTGGTGAAAATGAAAGTTATACTATGATAAAAGTATATTTGCTTCAAATTTCAGGTGAATGATTTGCAATTTGTAAAAGAGTAACTAAAAGTTAAAAACTTGAAATGGTATGGTTGGTAGAGAAGTGGGAGAAGAAACAGAAACAAAGAGCAACTAGAGAAGTTTCTTTGCCAAGTCAATCTCAAGATGGAGTTGACACTATAGCAAAATTGGTTTATAGTAGCATTTTTAGCGCGTTTGTTTAAAGAACGCCGCTAAATACTCGTACTTTAGTGGCATTTTTATATAAACGCCGTTAAAGATTGTATTTTAGTGGCGTTTTTATACAAACGTGGCTAAAGACTCGTACTTTAGTGACATTTTTATATACTCGTATTTTAGTGGTGGTTTTATATAAACACCGCTATAGACTCTTATTTTTATGGCGTTTGTATACAAACATCGCTAAAAACACGTACTTTAATTGTATTTTTATACAAAAATCGCTATAAACTCATATTTTAGTGGTATTTTTATTCCTGCCGTTTACCTAAACCCAGTTCTTTTGTTCAGATACGTGTTTTCTTATCTTGTATTTTTAGTTCCTTTCTTTAAAGATAAAAGGGGGAGTAAAAAAATAAGAGGGTTTAAGTTTAGGGTTTGTAACAAGAGATATAAAAGAGATGGACTCCGATTACACGCGTGGTGCCTCCATCTCTGGCTGTGATTTTGGATTCGCTTTCAATGATAGTAAATTCTCTGGACCCTCCGACTGCGCTCCCGACGGTGAGGGTTGCACTAGCTTCACCGATTGGGCCAGCCGTCGCAAGAGGCGCCTAGAGGATATCAAGAAGGAAAATGGTTTGCTTATGTTTCCCCTTGATTCTTTCTTTCTAAATGTTCCTTGTTGCTTCTGTTTGGCTAGTTGAGTAAATAAAGAAAACATTTAAGAAAGACAATAAATTGCAGTTTACTTCGCGACTAAGCGATTCTTTGTGAACCTAAGTTTAGAGAGTGAATAAAAATGAAAGTTAGGGCTATACTAGTTCTGGGAAATTGGAAGTTTTGGAGGAAAGATTTATCAAGATTCAGGGATTGGGAATTCAAAGGGTTGGGTTTCAATTATCTTGTTCATACTATTTTGTGTCTCACTTGATTTTATCCAGATTCAGTGTTCCATGCATATTCATGGTTAATCTTTGGAACTTTATGTCTTGTACATGGAGGAAGTCTTTTTTATATTGTAGGCTAGTTTTCAACCCTTTTTCCATTTACTGCTTATATTTGTTTTTATGCTTAAAACTCTGGGAAATTTCACTTGAACATGGTTACTACGTGATAAGCACTTATATTTGTTTTTATATTCGTTTCCTAAACGAATTACCAAGAATAGCTTTTTGATTATCTCAGTGTTTTTTTATAGCATTTTCTGTTTCGATTACAAAGATGTTACCATATTAGGATCCTAGAATTTTAGAACTGCCATAATAGATAAGCACTTCAAATAATTGAACTGCCATAATAGAATATTAAATATTTATACTAAAGCTTCAAAGTAACATTCTCCTTCCTGTTAACCAGAGTTAAAAGAATTCATAATTTTAGAACCTAGCACATATGCAACAAATTACGTCAATAAAATTACCTGAATATTCAACCGCTTACTTGAGTCTTGTAGATTACAGCATGTGTGTTGTTTGGCCTTTTTCTCTAACTCCATGGCTCGTTTCTTCTCTGGATGCTCACGCAGCTTCAGGTATTTTTAGCTTCTGTCAATTCTATTTGCAAAGGCTCCACTAATCTGCCGACAGCTTCTTGATCAGACAATGCTTTGTCATAGAATAAAATGATATTGAATATGGACCTCTCTAAACATCTGTCCTGCATACACCCTTCCCACTTAATTCCATTTTCCCTGCCAAGTTCATAGTCAGTTTAATTCTCATGTCTTGAATACGGTGTTCAAATTTTGGGTTTATTTGTTACGACCAATTGTGACTGGAATTGATAGTTCTTCCCATCAAAGGGAGATTGAAACCTTTTAGCTCATTAAAGGGATACTGAAACCTTAGGACTCATTAAAGAGAGATCCAAATCTCTTTAGGGCTTTTGATAGAAATTCTGCATAGGGTTTAGTTATTTCATATGACCCTTTAAATATGGAGCAGTCTTATTACATAAATAGAAAACCTATTCTAAAAGGGAAGTATATCAACTGAAATAAAAAAAATAGTCAATAAACTTAAGGAAATAAATAAAAGTGTAATCTAAGTCTAAATTAAAGAACCCAAATTTAAAATTGTTCTTGAATTTGATTTTGATTTCCACCTAGGACCTTGTCTCTCCTTCATGCAATTTTCCTCCAGTTTGGCTTTTAAGGTTTCAACCTGTGCAGAAGTATCCCTTTTGCACAAGCTAGAAGTCAGTGCTTTTGCTTTGCTTTCACACAGAAGACACACTAGTAATTAAAAATAGTTTCCAATACATATGCTTTAAAAGTTGAGACTAGGAACTACTTTAGCTGTACTTTACTACTGGGATAGGAACTTGTAGTCGCTCGTTCTTCCTTATTAAGTGTGCCAGCTCATTATGAAGAATAATTAAAATGTTGTGACATGTTCAGAATTCAGTTTTAGTTTGCTCAACTAGTTCTCTTTTTTTTTTGACATCTCTCTTACTCTCTCCCTGTGGTTTGAAGCACTTTGTTTATGTTGGATTTGAAGCTTCTGAATAATAATCATTTGGTCCATTCCTAGCCTGATTGTCCATGGAACTCTTTTTTTAAATAAAAAATAAATATATTTGTTGCATTGATGGTGACCAATTATGTTTCAGATAAAGCTCAGAGTACTTTTGTCACATATTGAGCAACTTCGTATCAATTACTGGGGCGTCACATCTGTGAAGCTACAGTCAGTATTGCCTCCTGGTTTGCAATCTCCACGTGTAAAGGATGTTGTGGATGAGAATTACCAACCTGTAGAGGCATCTGGTGTTGGAAGGAGCTGGGTGCGGAGCATGTTTAGTAGGGATTCAACATTAAGAACAAACTTATTTTGTCGTGTTCGTAAATAGGCTTCTGATGGTGCAGCATGTATATCTTTTGTTAGCATTAGATACCTAGAGTGTTCTATATTGAGGAAATGGACCAAATGTTTTCATGGCTATTTATGTTTTAATTGATCAGCGAATGAGAATGCACGCAAAAAAGATTTGCCTGCTGCTGGGCCGAAGAGAACACAAACCAATGTTCGCATATTGAGGGGTAGTGGTGCTGTTACTGCTTCGCATTGTGTAACAAGAAGAGAGGTGTGAGATCCTGTGGGTGATCGTGAGGATGCTAGTTTCTGTATTAGTGGAGACTTTCAAAATCAACTTCAAGCTTGAAAGAATGTAATTCCGTGTCTTTTTATTACCAGAGGAGTTCAATATATATACAATCATTAGTAGATGCAATCCTAACAATTAGACTATAATTTAATAATTAGGCTATAATTTAGGCAACTAAATATATAACGGTAAATACAAAATATTTGGAGAATATTTTGTAGTCTATCACTGCCCCGCAGTCGAAACGGGAGGATCTCGAACGTTAAGACTGGTTCGGAAATCGTCAAACAATATAAGGGGCAACCCCTTTGTGAAAATATCCGCAATCTAGTACCTAGACGGCACATGACGAACACAAACCTCACCCCGCGCAACTTTTTCTCGAACAAAATGAATATCCATTTCAATGTGCTTCGTACGTTGGTGTTGAATGGGATTTCCAGAAAGATAGATAACACTCACATTGTCGCAGTAAACCATTGTTGCTTAACGAATGAGACAATTGAGTTCGAGAAGAAGATTACAAAGCCAACAAGATTCCGAGACAACGTTGGCAACTTTCCTGTATTCTGCCTCGGCACTTGATGGGGAAAGCGTAGGTTGACCTTTGGACGACCATGAGATCAAATTGTCACCTAAAAAGACACAATACCCGGAAGTGGATCGTCGAGTATCGGGACAACCTCCCCAATCAGCATCCGTATAAGAGACAAGATCAGTAATGGAGGAAGGAAAAATATGTAAACCAAGATGAAGAGTACCTTGGATATACCGGATGATACGCTTGAGAGCGTTCATATGTTCATCCCGAAGGTCATGCATATGGAGACAAATTTGTTGAACTGCATAGGAAATATTCGGCCGCGTAAAAGTGAGATATTGTAGGGCACCCACAAGGCTGCGGTACTGCGTTGGATCAGCATACCGTGCACCGCTGGTGGCACTTACCTTCGGCTTGGTATCAACTGGAGTGACTGGGCTTACAAGAATGCATGCCTGCTCGATCAATGATGTCCTCAACGTATTTTTGTTGTGATAAAAACAACCCACCCTTGTGTCGAGTCACACTGATGCCGAGAAAATAGTTCAAGAAACCCAAATCCTTCATAGCAAACTCAGAGTTGAGATGAGCCATTATAGACTTGCGGAGATGCTCAGAATACGCCGTCAAAATAATGTCATCAACGTAAAGCAATAGGTATGCCATATCCGACCCGTGTTTGTAAAGAAATAAGGAAGTATCTGATTTACTGTTAGAGAAACCAATGGAAGAAACAAAATCAGCAAACCTCTTGTACCACACCCGAGGGGCTTGTTTGAGCCCATAGAGAGATTTACGCAGTAAACAGACATAATCAGGATGCACTTGATCTCGAAATCCCATAGGCTGATGCATATAAACCGTTTCCTTGAGGTCACCATGCAAAAAAGCATTGCTTACATCTAATTGATGAATCGACCATTGTTTCGACAGGGCAAGACTAAGCACAGTACGAATTGTTACTGGCTTCACTACCAAACTGAAAGTCTCTCCACAATCAATACCAACACACTGAGTTTTACCATCACCTACAAGACATGCCTTATGCCTCTAAAACGAACCATCAGACTTTATTTTATGAGTAAAAATCCACATAGAACGAATGACATTAACTCCAAGAGGGTGGAGTACCAAATCCCACGTCTTATTTTTAATAAGAGAATCATATTCGTCAGTCATAGCCAACTTCCAATTCGGGTCATGAAGTGCAGCCATAGGGTTACGGGGTAGAGGAGATCTCGTAACCGTGATAGTGTGGGCCTCGGATGGGTCAAATATAGTTTTTGGCTTAAAGATACCATGTTGGTTGCGGGTGACAAGGCATTCAAATCGAACAGGGGGCGGTTTGGGCCGAATTGGTGAGGATTTTGGAGGAGATGGGACTACGAACTGTCTGCTCATAGATGAGTGAGAGGCTGAAGAAGACATGACTGGCTGTAGGAGAAGAAAGTGGAGGCTGTTGTGGTTGGTTTTGATGAAGAAGATACGACGACACGCCATCATTCAAAAAATCATAATCACCTGTACTAGGTTGATGGACTTTGGCAAAAGGGAAGATAGTTTTATCAAATTGTACATGCCGGCAGATTATGATTTTATTGTTGGATAAATCAAAACACTTATAACCTCGATGATTATCGGGATAACCCAAGAAAACACAGGGAGTGGATCGAGCTTGTAATTTGTGAATAGTCGTGGATGAAATAAGAGGATAACACAAGCACCCGAAAACCCGAATGTGAGAATAAGAGGGAACCCGGTGGTATAAAATTTGTAGAGGAGACGCATCGGCTAGTAGTGTACTGGAAGAATATTCAAAAGATGGGTTTCCATATGAAGCTCATGATGCCAAAAAGAGTGTGGAAAAGAGGCATGAAACAATAGTGTGCGCATGATATTATTAATGGATCTTATTTTTCGTTCAGGCTTTATGTTTTGTGAGGAGGTATAAGGACAGGAGAAACGAAAAGAAATGCCACGGGACTCATAGAATTGCCAAAAAGAGGCATTATCAAACTCTCCCCCATTATCACATTGTATGGTTTTGATATCTCGTTCAAACTGGGTCCAAATATGAGCTTGAAATTTAGTAAAAATGGAGAATACTTGTGATTTATTAGCAATGGGAAAAGTCCACAAGAATTTCGAATAATCATCCAAAAAAAGCACATAATAACGATGTCCCGAAGAACTCAAAATCGGAGAGGTCCAAATATCACTATGAATAATATCAAAAGGCATGAAAGTTTGAGAAGTTGAAAGAATAAAAGACAATCGAATATGTTTTCCCAGTACACAAGATTGACAAGTAGTAGACTTAGATGGACTATTACAAGTAATCAGTTTATTTTGCTGAAGAATAAATAAAATGGAGTCGCCCGGGTGACCTAAACGGTCATGCCAAAGCGTTGAAGCAAGCAAGGCAGTAGGAGAGGAGGCTGGATGCGGCCTGGTGGGAGTGATTGGCTAGAGAGATTTGGTACTATCACATCTCATTAGACGTCTCCCCGTCTGTAAATCATGTACGGAAAACCCACAAGGATCAAACACCACTGACACATTATTATCAGTTGTAAATTTCCGAATAGACACTACATTTTTAATAAGATTCGGAGTATGCAAGACATGTTTGAGAGACAAAGGTAGGTTCGGGGAAGGTAATAAGGTATGACTGTAACCACGAATTGGAATTAACTGACCACTACCAACAGTAACACCATTATCTTTGCTCATATTAACATAAGATGAGAGATTACCTTGTGTTGATGTCATATTAGACGTCGCCCAGTATCCATATACTAGTTTGGATCCGGTTGAGAGAGAGACATGGTGTGCATGGCGGACTCAATATCCATCGGAGCCCACTGGGACGTTGTAGCATAGGCTTGCTGTTGCTGGGGTCGTACTCCTAGAATACCAGGCTGTCATGGTCCAACTTGCCTACCCCAAGGTTGAGTCAGATATGGACAAGGAGGTATGGCCCAAGTTGGTTGCGTCCATGTCCACCAAGGAGGCATAGCCCATGGTGGTTGCATCGGACCCTGCTGACCATCGCCAAAGTTCGGACCACCTCCACAGTTGCCACCACGTCCAGCACCCGACGTCTGAACTCCACTACTAGTAGGTTTACGATTTTTGTTGTTGTTGTGGTGCTTGTTTTGTTTCCCACGTGCGCGACCTGGAGAATGATGATTAGAAATCTCATCAGTGTCATGATTAGTCACCATCATTGCATCATCAGCCGTCGCCTCCTTCATGTTGGTTTCTTCTAAGGCCAACATCGATCGAACTTCATAAAAAGGTGGTAGTACCTTTTTGTGGCGAATAACAGAAGCAACTCCCTTGTAAGCCGGTGTGAGACCACCCACCATGCGAAGAACAAGATGATTATTTGAAACCGGAGCACCAACATTCTTGAGTTGGTCGGAAAGTGTTTTGAGGTGCTGGCAATATGCAGAAATCCTTCAAGTAGGTGTTGTTAAACTTGTGTTCCAAGGAAACGGCAAGAGAGTTCTCATTATCCTGAAACAAATCGCGAAGACAATTCCATAGAGTCATGGCAGAAACATCGGCTTCAATAACGACATTCAAGAGATCTGTTGAAATCGTGGAATAAATCCTCTGAACCACAGCAGCATCCAACATATCCCACAGTTCTTGTTCTTCATGACTAAGGGTGGTCGGCTCTGTGGCCTTCCCGTCCTTAGATTTCGGTGGGATAATATGATGAAGAACCTTGTGATAACGACAATGGACCTTGAATAACTCCGCCCAATTTGTATACTGGACCTTCTCCATCTCAAGAGTGATGAGAACATGTGTCTTGATGTTAGAAACAACAAGAGCAGGGTGAAAGGATGAGGAAGATAATGTGGGAGCCATGTCAGACGGAATGACAGAAGACAGAGAATAAGAGGAAGAGAAAAAAATAAGGTTGCGGAAACTAGAATAGATCAACCGTAGCTAATACCATGAAGGAATGTAATTCCGTGCCTTTTTCATTACCACAGGGGTTTAATATATACACAGTCATTAGTAGATATAATCCTAACAATTAGGCTATAATTTAGTAATTAGGCTATAGTTTAGTAATTAGGTTATAATTTAGGAAACTAAAATACAACAGTAAATACAAAATATTTGGAGAATATTTTGTAGTCTATCAAAGCTATGATGCATATGATACGATAAAATCAACCCCGGAGTCCACCATCGTATGTGTTATTATTGTTTATTCTAGTTAACAATGTTGAACTACATTATATTTTACGTTAATGTAAACTTTGATTTATTATTATAGATTTCAAGTTTGTTGTTATGGATGTCAAGTTTATTAGATAATGCTACAAGTTAAAGTTGGGTAACAAAATAGTAGAAAACATCATTTGAAAAATTAGTTTTAATTCGTGGCGTTTGTATAAAAAAAGCCACTAAATACATAGTCAATACATAGTCAATACCGGCTTTTTTAAAAACGCCATTAAAGTTCTAGATATTTTGCAGCATTTATACAGAAAATGCCACTATATACGTAGTCA